ATCTAAAGTAATGTGAATGAATAAACATGTCATTAACATTTACTAACCAATAGAAAATATAAAATTATTACTTCTCAGTTTCAGATCTTAACTGGTTGTCGGCCAGTTTAGTTTATTTTCATTGTTGTCTTTAGCTTTTGCTTTATACTCTGGTGAGCTTCCATTTCCTTCTGTCTTATAAATGTCCCATTTCGACCTGCAGAATGTCACCAGAGCATTTCCACTGACTTAATTCAGTGGCACAACGATATACCTTTGCTGGTTTAAAAATCAATAGTTGATGGACGGATGTGAGTCAGACAGCCTCCCTCCTGACTCTCTAAGAGCCTGGAATCCCCCCGTCAAGCACCATTGGCAGCTTCAGTAAATATAGAATAAACACAGGCATATGACAGTAATTACAAGTTTCTGGGATGCCTTACCCCGGATATTGGGTCAGACCCCAAGTTGAAAGCAGGATACTAATGGTTAATTTTCTAATGACCTATTTCCTGAAAGATTATTGGGCCACCCTCTTAGAAAAGTCTCTAAATATACCGTGATAGGTGCTCAGACATCCAACGTGTCTGCGGTGCATGTGTGTTCTGTGTCCTGTGTGCAACAGATTGTGCTTTTTTTTTGGTGCCATGCTCTGGCCCTGGAAATGATTTAATTTTTCAATGGTCTGTCTGCTATCAACAGGCTCGCCTCTTGAGAGAGATGTCTGCCTTGATAATTGTGCCATGAACCTCATCAGCATTTCAGATGAAATGGAGCTAGACGGGTCACTTTGAGTTTAAGAGATGCTAATTTGATTGAAATTCAAACTGGGAGCACCAGGAAGTAGATTGTGCCTTTCTCTGTAATGTGCTCCCCTCACTCATGTCGTCTTTCTCCTCCAGTTAAACAGCGATTGTTCTTGATGCTCCGCCTATATTTTTTTATTGTGAATTCCAAGTGGGTGCTCAGGCTTCCTGAACTCTGTGGGGTCTTTAGGGGTAGAAAGTTGAGCAGTGGGGGTAAATCTGTCCAGGGAATCAAGGAGCAACTTGTCCTTAGTTTAACCAGTTATGTCACATGAGCAGCACATGCCACATCAGCAGCTTTAATTTGTGAAAGACCTCCGTGACTTTCTGCACCGGTTTAATTTGATGTGTGGGAGGTGGTCGACCGAAACCAAATTGTTAACCGGATTTTCAAGATTTTTAATTGAAGCGTTACATGTTTAAAATAAGCCAATGTTCTTTTCTCCATCAACAAATCAACAGAATTAATATGTGACTATTTAAAATAAAAAAAGCTGTGAAACAAACCTGATCTACTGCACACAACATCATTGGTAAGAATCACATTTTATTCTTTCTGAGAAATGGATCAGAGAAAATCAGTTTGGAATTATAGTGATTTTATGGTGCAGACATGTAAGTGAAACCTTTTACTCAGTAATACATTTTCTAGTATTTCCTCTGCTAATGGCAGTTGCATTTTTTTACACTTAGCACATTATCTTTTTGTCCAATTATTCCTCTGACATGCTTTGTGATTGCAGTGGAAAAGGTTAAATTGCATGTGGATACATGGAATCAGGGACGCTATCAGCTGCACCTTGTTGGCATCTTATCGCCCTCTTACCCCTGTCAGCGGGGAGTGCTCCTTCTGAATGGAGATTTGCACAATTGCACGCAGCATTTTCCATGACATTCTTATTGTACTGATGTCTGCCTCTTCCATATGGTCAGAGATGTGATGGGATTACGGCTGGAATACGTCAGTGTGATTAACAGGCTGACCTGGGAAATGGAGGAAATCAAAGCAGAACATATAGCTCTATCCTGCTCTAAAAAAATGGTCAGAACTATTTTTGACATTAAGAGAATGTTTTTTTGAATATGAAAATATTATTGTGTAAATTGTTCAAACATATTACAAATTATAGATGATGTCCAGCTTCTTTATATTAGTTAATGAGGATCCTATTTGTCTAGACTTAAAAACCTAAATTAATTGTCAAACTCAACATTCCAAGGAGAAAACATGTAACAAATATTTTCACAATAGTTGTGCCAATTCTTTTAATTTCATTAATAGAATATGTGTTAATTTCCACAGATGGTGTTGTATGTTTTTCTTGATATGAAGTCACCAAATAATTAGATAATGTCCCTGCCACAAATAAAATAATTTACTTTTCCCAATACAATTCCCATATTTCGGGTTATACTTCCTGTTTAACCCGTTTTTCCAACCAGCACATCATTTTTTCTCTTGCATTACAGGATGAATTTAATTAGGCGGCTCCTCTTTCCACTTTTGCTTGAGTGAAATTGTTGAGCGGCCAAGGTATTTAAAGAAATGGAATGTTTCACTCTGGAGAAAAGTGCAGAAAAGCTTCCTTTGACTTAATCTTCATTATGTGCATGATTAATTACTATATAGCCTCAGACTATCAAAAGATAGTCAGAGATATCATATTTTACATGTATTTAATTAGTGTGCACTTTGAGACCTGTGCCCTGGCAGGCCCGAATGCTGAACTTTTTATGCAAGGAATTTCAATTACATGCACTCCCTCAATCTACGGGCTAGGTCTATACATAGAGTCATTAGGGCTTTTTCAATTGGTCTCAGGAGATGCCCGAGGTTTCACAGATGAGACGGAATAAGAGTCATGCAATCCCATAGATCATGGCGCCCCTGCTCCACAGCTCTAAAATTAGGGCAATATATCAGCAAGAGCTATCAACACTTATGTCAACATTGTTTCAAAAGAAATATGAGTTTTTTTTCCTCCCAGTGCTTGCGTCCTGTTGTTTAATAGATTTGACTGAGAGACGATAGCAGGTCTATGTCTCATTAGTGCCATGAATTTTATTTTTGAGATCATTCTGTTTCATATGCCGAATATAAACCAGGCATTCATTTCCTGCTCCCATTGGAATCTGTTAGATAAAGCACTGTAATTTATATTGCTCCTGCGTTATATGCTTATGCATGAGGAAACAGGACGGAATCATCAAAGTGACCATATAATATATGGAAAGTACTGCAGAGTCATGAAATATTACCCACAAAAATTAAGCAGCGCATTATGGGCTCAGCATGAGGTGCATGTTTTAATTCTAAAACAGTCATTAATTTCCATAAAAACAAATACAATATGGTGATCTTCTCATTTGTTATCACGTGTGAAGGTCATTAATAAAGCGAAATGCCCCTCTGAGACCTTCGCTAAACACAGATGTGCACACCGAGATAAACACACATGTTTTATCATGGCTGTGTGATAGGATACAGCATTTTAAGAAACATTAAAAAATTGAAAATCCTTTTTCCTTGTGTTTTTCCTTCCGTGTTCCTTGTCAAATGCATTTCAGGTAAAAACTATTATCAAAAGCTAACGTGCTTAAGAAATACAACAGGAGGAAGAAGGAGATGAATTTCTTAGAAGTAATGGAAATAATAATGGATAATTCGGTTTCCTGCCATTGTTGTGATTTAGTTCTGGTTTTTCACTTGAACTCAGGAGCAGTTTGTTAAAGTGAATAAATGTTTGTGCTGTAAACCATAATATACAGCATTCCTTCACGGTATTCAGCTAAATGGTGGTTGTTTTCAGGTTGTTTGTGTCTGATCAATGCCATGCACCTCACAAGTAACCAAGTCCTGAGTGTTCCACTGTGCGACCTATAATATTATATTAATAACGTTTGGACACAGAGCAGTGATTACCTCAGCAGCCCAAAGCAAAGACAAAACCCAAAGCACAATACAGTGCACCCAGTAATGCGTTTTCCAATGATCTGCTGTAAATGGGTGCACAGGCCTGCGATAAGAAGGAACAAATATCATCTCTGCTCCCTGCTAAATCAGCACAACACAGTTATTGATCTGGCTCCTCACATTGCCAATAGAATTTTAAGTCCCCTCGGTAGCAAATACGGCTTTCGTGTGGTATTGATATCATTATCATGATTTCAGTACAGCAAAGGGGTGGTCACCTGCAATTCCCCGAGCCTCGGAGCACCCCACGGGCTCAATTAGAAGGCCTGCTCTTCAGATGTTAGAGGCAGGGACCTGAATTAACTTTTGACACAGCTGCAAAGAGAAAAGACTAACAAGCACATATTTGTACGTAACAGCAAAAACAGGATTCTAAATTTTATAAAAAATACATAAAAGACTCTCAGTAGAGAGCATTTTGGGGTGCAAATTCAAGTGGCGCATTTAGACACTCGGCATGTGGATCCATTCAGAGAAGGAGCGGACTCAAATTAATAAGTCGGGACATTTTTGTGAAACACTCGAACTTTTGATAATGTGGGGGGGCAAAGTTGCATGAGGTCTCAATGCATATTTCATAATTTACACATAGTCTTGTACTACCGACTAACATTTCCTCACTCCATAAGGTCTATGCTCAAAATAGTCCTCACAGAGATAAAAGTACAAGTACACACACACACACACACGTGTGAGCTGGTCTTGTTCTAATTCAAACTAGCTTGGACAAGGTTAAAGAACGGAAGAACATTTATTCAGAAACCAAAGAATGGCGGCAAGTTAGCAACAAGACAAGTCATATTGCATTAATTCTATGGAAGCAAAAAATGCCTCCACAGCTTTGTTTCCATTTATACAGATTATCTGAGCTCTTGCAAAAAGATAAACAGAATAGTGGGTTAGTAAAGGGCCCAAAGGGCTTATTTTACTCCTTACACATAGCTGAGAAGATCCAATAGGCAACGAGTTCAAATTGAGTTGTCCCTGACTTCATTGGCAGTCGACTAAATAGCTCTGCTGCATGGTGACAGCAGCTCACCATTCGTTTTGCTTTTTACTTCTTTGTTGGTAAATATCAATATTTCACAGTCTACACGAGTTAAGAACATTTGTTTTTGCATTATTGAGGAGTCTGTACTCCACGAGTACACAGTGTTTTGACATTTCTGCATTTTTGCAATTTGCTCGAAAAGAGTTTTATCATTAAATGTGTTTCTGTTCCTTTGTTTTTTTTTTGACAGATGCAACAATCGGACCCAGTGCATTGTGATCACGGGTTCAGATGTCTTCCCTGACCCCTGTCCAGGGACCTACAAGTACCTGGAGGTCCAGTATGAGTGTGTGCCCTACAGTAAGTACGACCCCTCTGTCATCAGATGAGAGTTTTCCCTCCTTTCCTCCCTTCCCTCCACCGTCACATCCGCAGTTTCTCTCCTCTTTCTCCCCTCTCTCTCGTGTCATATCATATCCTGTCCAACTTCTTCCCCCTGCCTTGTCCAGACAGTCTGCTTCCTCCGTCTGCAACACCTTCCAGCACCATTTTCCTCCGTCTCTTCCTCCATCTGTGTCACACCATGAACTTTTCATGAAATACGACCTGTAAAACCCTGTGGTCCTTTTTTTCTGTACCAGCTTCTATTATTGATGTGCTCACCCGTGTTTCCAGCGGATCAACGAGGCTGGTTATGAGGCAGCAGAACATAGGGAGGGTAGAGGAAGTCATGGTGACTCTCCGAGATGGCAAGCGAGTGGTTCATTACTTTTAAGTCTTGCATGGGGAAATCTATCAGGCAAAGAAAAAAACAACAGCCTCACCTTGATGGCTTAATATACAGTACATCCGATACAACAGGTGTTGAAATGTGTTAACAGATGTTTCATTATGTAACCGAACAGAATGGCTCCACTCGTAAGTCAACACGGTAATATTTCATCGAAAGAGATAGTGTTAACATTTTGTCTCCTGCGTGGATGCTAAAATATTCATTGCCATTCAGCTTCCAAACAATCTTTAGGTTTGCCCTTTGTATTAGAATTCCCCTTTGTCCTTTAAGCTGCCATGTTCATTTGCAATTTGTGGGGGAAAATTCCCCCATGTAACCTTTACAGGCTGATTAATGGCAAGGATTAGATGAAAAGCTAGAATCACTAATCAGGTGCAACTGAAATAATTAGAGTGGGAATGATGGGGAAGATTTTAAGTATTTGGCATATATGTAGATTCATTATTTTGCACATGGATGTCATGTTTTAGTTCTGAATCTTCAGAAAATATAGTGCATATATAAATGGTGCACCTTTATGCCACATCACTTGAACACATAGCTCATTACCAGATTGCCTGTCTACACTGCTACCCTCAGTGTTAAATCAGAGCATCATTAGCTGTTGAGACTCATTTCAACTTAAAGGTTAACCTCTCCAAGGCTTTGAGGACCTGTAATTATGAGCCTCCACACTGAGCAATGCCAAATTCCTGTAGCTTCCACCTGAAACACACAACTACAGTTTTTTCTTTTTTACTCTTTTTGTTGTTTTCTTTTTGTGGACACCTGCGTCATAGTTAAGTGAAGTATTGATTCTGTGTCTTGCTGTGTTACCTCAAACCGTAATAGCAGGATTAGCCTCAAGGTGCACTCATGTCCACCCACTGCTATGATTATCTTTTGCCTCCGTCTTGCACCAAGGAGACAGTCAAGCCCGCCGTAGTGTGGTGGACAAAAACAAAAACTTCAGCCCAAGGACTTCAAGTTCTGGCAAAGTCTGTCTAACAAAAAAAAACAATTCCAAACAGGTCCTCACTTCATTTTGAGCAGTTTCAAACATGCATGTCTGTAGCCCCATCTTTTTGCTTCTCAAGGTCCATGCCCAACCAGAATAGGACCAAGAACACAGAATGTATCCTATCGCAACTGCCCCGGTAAGTGCTTGGTGTTCTCCCAGTCTGACCCAGTCCACCACAAGCCCAGTCCAGCCTTTCCCACTTAAGCCCTGTTGTAAAGTGTGATAGACTCATAGGCCAGTTCCATGTTTTGTTGTTTTCCTCTCAACGATCCTCTGTCTCCTCTTACCCGCTAAATGAAACACATACAACCGGGATCATTTTGTAGAGTCAGACAAACACAGAAAAAAGGCCATCATAGGGGAATATTAACTGTGCTGTTCCACACCAGAGCCAACCCTCCCTGCAGTTTTCTCTCAGGATTGCAAAGATCTAACAGCAGTTTTCTAGTTTTCACACGAAATAGTTCATATGCCAAATGCCAAGACTTGTGATTAAAAACATTGCAGTGGATCAGGAGCTTAGGATCCCCAGGATTTGCTGGGATACAAGACTTGAGAATTTGTTTTGCAAGAAAACACATTAAATCCCCAATAAGCTGATCAACGATGGGGCCGCAGACAGTGTCCTCATTTTGACTTTTAACCACTGCCCCTCAAAGTCTGTCTGTCCCATGAAATACAGCAAGCAGTTTAATGACATAATGTGATAAACTGTTGCGTTTTATGCCACTGACAGAATGCAGTGGGGTATTTTATTAATGCATCCCATTGTCTAAGCATTTGCATAATCACACAAGCAATTTTGGATATTTTCGCTTCTGTGTAAGTGGCCTTTGCAACAAGTTGAATACATGTGCACCATTTTCATCCTTTTGGCTTCGTAATTTGGTTCTTGCCATGAACTGCCCTCATTAGCAGCATTATCTTCACTTTCCAGCCAAGGATGTAAATGTTGCCTTGGCACCGAGTCACCTCTGAATTGGCTCTAGTATGTTTTTTAAGATTGAGGCGACGTGACATCCAGGATGTGTCTTTACCACGCCTTCTCTTTGAAATCTATTTGTGATGGGGGAAAAGTTCAAAGTAACCATCCTTATTCCACCATTGTAAACCTGGAGAATAGTGCCAGTGAGCCCCTCAATGATAATATTTTATTTTTTATTTTATCACATGCTAGCTCCAATAAACCCTCAGCTCCATGTGATAGCGATGGCCAGATTATACAAATTAAAGTTAAACTGTAACTGCATGAGTTTTGGGTCCCCTGTGGTGTTTTTGTTTTCACTTTCATACCCTTTTTTTATTCAGTTTACATGATCCATAACTTTAACAAAGGAGCCACAAACTAAGTCTCTAGTTGACAGCACACATTCAACTATATAGAGATGCAACACCTGATTAATCTATAGCCTGTATAATTAGATTAGAAGTATTTGGTAGAACGCAGGAACTTCCTAGTGCAGTGGTTCTCATCCTTTTCCAGTCACGACCCACCAGTTTAAACACATTTATTGCTCATAAACTGTCTGCATCTCTTTAGCCACATGTCCCAGTAGATGCTGGAGAGTGGTTTAGTGCTTTTTTGTCACTAAATATTTTTGACATATGATTCGAGCTGAGCATGTGGGTGTTTGTGTTGTGAAATGAGTATAAACTAAATTAGGGGGTGCAGGTGCGGCACTGTCCATATTACTGAAACAGAGCTGATAGATGGACAGACAGACAGAAAAAGAAAAGGACAGACAGAGAGAGACAGATGGACTGAACACATCACTTAGTCGGTTTCTCAGTGTTCTTGTTCTTCATGGTTTTAAATAGAACTTTTGGCCCTAATTCCATTTCCCCCCCATTGTAGCCAAACCACAGACAGAAAGGAGACGTCAGTGGGATAAAGAGAGAACAAATAAATAAAAATAAGTAGAAACTGACATGCACTCCCACTTTGTCTTACACAATAAAAGCAATTATAAGGAAAATTATATCCCAGGTATGATTTGATGTAGTTTTAAAAAAATGTTGTTGTTTTTTCTCCACAAGCATCTGGCAACCCTCAGTAATTATCCTGTGACCCCTCTGGGACCCCAGGTTGAGAACCACTGCTCTAGAAAGTCAGTTTAGTGGGAAAAGTTTCGGGTGTCTGGGGTTAGTCTGGATGGGATGTGTCGTATGTGTTTGTTAATATGTTGCTTAAATTAAAAGTGTCTGACTCTCTTCCCTTCCCCCTGTGCAATCTGCAGGAAACCTCCTCGGCTTTCTGACTCACTCTCTTCACCCAGTGACCGATTTCTGATCACACTGATTGCTATTTCAATTCTTCCATTTCCACTAACGTCATCAGGTCTTCTGTCATGTGTTCTCCTTTTCTTTCCAGATTTGCATTACACCATCTTCTCTCTGACCTCTCCTTGGCTCCTCTGACTCAACTGATATTAATTTGTTTGCTTCCCATCCCTGTTTGATCTCTTAGTTAGCTGCAAGACACTTGAATTTCTTCTGGAGAATGGCGAAATGTTTTTTTCACGGAGCCCATTGAATCTCTTTTTTTTTCCACTGAAGCCTACGTCAGACTCATCAGTTACCGCACATCCAAAGTCTCATATGAACCCACACTAATTGGAACTTGAGGGTTGCAGGATTCAAGAGGAACCTAATTTAAGATTGCTCCAATTATCTCATGCTGCAAACTGGCCCAAAATGTGTAGGCTACATTTAGTATTTCAACTTATGAGAGAGGACTGCTGTATATAAACTCTACTACTATGTTCACTGCATTGTTGAAAGAATACATCTCAAATGTAGTGATGTCCGAGTGTCCAAATCAGTCCACATTTGTAGAATTCTTATAATGTAAAAAATGTTTTTCATAACTCTCAAAAAAACAGTTGAACATGAGAAGAAGAATAGTTTAATGACTGCAGATTTTTTTCTGCAATACTCGTCTTCTCTCACGTTCTGTCAATAACTTGCTAAGTGAACACCAAGCAGTAGAGTTGAATTGTCTTGAACGGTCGATTTTCTGACCTGGGCTTCAGACCACCCTGAGAAACATGTCTGTTCTGAAGAATATTTATTGCATCTTAAATAATTTTCTCAAGAATTTTTGCAGTCTTATAGTTGCGGTTCCAAAATAAGATGTTGCTTTTCATGGAATGATGATGCACTTA